AACGAAAATATTTGAAGAGGGTACACAATATAACTTTCAAATGTTTTCGTATGTTTACTACGTGGGAATACGAGTCTTTGACACTGATTTACCCATCCAGATATTAAATAAAAAAGTTACCGTAAAACATAAAACAAACAACTCGGGTCTTATTTAGTTTCAAAACACACCTTTAAAAGATTTTCATTTTTTGTTCTTAATTTCCAGCTGAACTACATGATGCTCCACTCCAAGAACTTCAGGTGAGTGACACTGATATATTTTGTACAATGTGTTTACTTAATCTCCAGCTTAAACAGATACCATGGAGTTTCTGACTACTGAAGGGGTGACATTTTAAGTAATTTTGGTATCGGAAGTTCACTATGAATTAATAGGCTAATTTAGTTACCTAGCCTAAACTATAACTTTATTTGCTAAGAATTCTGATTGACCTGAGAGAAGTATTCCACATGAGGTATTGAAGCTGCAGCTCAAGTTCCTTAAGAGAACCAAGAAATGTAATTCAACACTCGAAAGGGTTCAGGAGTTGGACAACAAAACCTTTGAGATGCCCAGCAATATTGCCTAAATATTTTCATGCGTAAAATACTTTAGCTTAATACCATAAAAGACGCATTACCTGGCGATCACTACACTCAGCAGGTGTGAATATAATGGTATACAGTATCATTATTATATTCACACCTGCTGTGCAGTGAAACATGTGCAACAGTTAGGTATCTTAATTCCGAAACTTTTCGCCTACACAGTAGGCTTCTTCAGTCAAATACAGAGGAGAATACCGACAAGTTGATAAGTTAGACACCTGTACAACAGTCAGGTATAGAAACAGAGGAAGCAGCAAAAGCAGTAGAGACGTAGAGACAATGTAATCAATCCATCACCCTCGAAAATGTTACTGTTTACTGGCTGCGATGTGAGATGAGAGGCAGATGGTCTCTGTTTCTCACCTCAAAAGATCTCTTATTATACGTTACTTTTCTCTTGGATTACTGTGGAATAACTCATCTGAGAACTATGTTTTCTATTACATTATTTCACCCACTGCGTGACATTAAATAAAGTTATTTCTTGAAACTCGCGACCAACCTTTTTTTTAAAGCTTTCCAGAATATTTTGGCTCTACGCTATATGCACTATACACTAAGCGCTATATGCTAAACACTGTACAATATTTCTTTACTTTTCTTACAACACTGATATTCATTGCAGTATGTTTACAGAACAGTAGAACACATCATGAGTTCACTTGTGCCCACTATAATGCTCCATGAATTTTGATAACTAACAGTTTATTACGAAGCTCAGCGCGACACGACTAGTGTATACTCTCCTATTTGTGGTTGCAAGGATCGAGACATGGTTCCTGGCCCCTTCTCTTCACTGATCGCTACTAGGTCCTTTCTCTTCCTGCTCCACAAGCTTTTGATGCTATGTCGTTTTCACACTGGTCGTGGACCGGGCAGCGGGGGCGTTGATCCCCGAAATAACCTCTAGGAATAACCTCCCGGTAGGGCCTCCCTCCTTATCTGTGCATACTCGTTTCTGGATCAACTAATCTCTATTTTCATGGGTCCTTTGTCGTCTGTACTTTTTTGCATTCTCTAGTGCACTTAGTTTTTGCCTCACTACACCTTTGGGTAAACCAAGGGCTCGTTCTTGATCGCGAGTTTCAAAAAATAACTTTATTCAATGTCACGCAGTGGGTGAAATAATGTAATAAAGAGAAAACCTCTGAATTATTTTTGTACTCAAAACTTAGCGCTAAACCCACAAGGGTCATACAGCACTGCAGGGTAGGGTTTGCTAAGGGTTTAATCTGCTTGATCTGAGACTAGCGAGGGTGGAGAGTATAACAGAGGTACAGCTAGTAAGGGCAGTGAGAAATGCTAAAGTTTATGTAATAAATCTCTTACTGTCAAAAAATCAAAGAGGGAGTCTGTGTCAAAGGTGGGGCTGTCAGCGATGAGGTAAATTCTGAGTGCTCGCTGGTAAACAGGACGGTCTAATAGAATATGATAAACTGAAATTGTAACCTGACAATTCTCAAAGAGTAGAACCGGGTCCCTCTCCATGAGATATCCATGAGTGAGACTTGTGTGCCCGATGCGAAGACGAAAAAGTGTAGTCCCCTAAACACGACATCAAATGATAAGAAGACCAGAATCCTAAACATAGCTTTATAGAATGTCATTTGTTATGAATCAACAAAAAACATTCTTGTTTGAGGCAGTTGTGAAAGTGGCTAGAGATAACAGAAAAATAATCTCGAAATGGAATACCCTTATACGAAACAAGAAGGTCAAATGTACCACTGACCGTGCAAAAGAGTCCGTGGCGCAAAGTTGTATACGAAGAACTAAGGAATAAGACAAATTAAATTTTGATAGCTTGCAAAGCACTAAAGGAGTCTGAGCCTACCACAAATGTTGAGACAGGTCTGGACGCAATACATATAATCGATAAGAGAATTACATACACTTAAGCTGTGAAAATGTTAGCCGTGTCTAATAAATGACCTCGGACAACACTGTCCAGGAACACTGCTACAAACCCAACACCGTCAGAAGATTTAGAACCATCACTGTAAACTGCAACGACACGAGAATAAGATCAGAGCAAGATGCAAGGGTAGGTATTTCAGCTTTTGCACACATCATTGGGGAAGACCAGACTCAAACTGTCGAAACCTCCCAAGGGAAAAAAGTTAGATGCTTGATGAAGATATTTGGGGGCAATTGAAGAGAAAGCAAGAGTGAGTGAAGACGAAGAGGAAAGGGACGGAGTAAACAGGGGCAGATAACAAATCATGGAAAACTGCTAACATACGTTACCATCCTGTATGTAGAAGGATCGTGAAGGTCATGAGAGTGGACAAAATATCGGAGGCAAAGGGCATCATGCCGATCGTTCAAAGATGAAATATTCGCTCTCAAAATGGGAGGGCATAAATTTAGTCCCTGATAAATGAGATCAAGTTATGAAATAGCTGAGGGAGGGGCCACAGAATATTTCAAGTCTCCATGATCTAGTTTCGATCAAATTAGAGCTGAATGAAGTCAAAGTAGAGTTCGATAATCCTCCCGCCAAGAAAGATGAGCAAGGGTTTTTGAGAGGGTTCAGCCGGTTATGGAGGTAATGTAAGGCTTCCAGGACAGCTGGCGATCAAATAGAAGACAGAAATCTATCTAAATCATGTTCAGGGATCTGGAAACCATACAAATATAGCAGAGTATTAGAGAGAACAGATCATCTAGTAATCTGGTGTGTTTTAATTGCCAGAAAATTTAAATGCATGAGTAGTGGCCCAGTGGGAAACACGGTTGACAGCATTCTGGAAAGAGGCTGCTACTAGGCGACAGATAGCGTTTGTGGAGAAACTTTCTCCAGGAGGTGGGGTATCAGCCCCCTTTAGCCCCTTCAGTCCTGAGGGCCCAGCCTTCTCAGAAGGGGCAAGCATCTTGTTTACTGCTACATCAAGTAATTGATCCCAGATGCAGTATGAGCATGTAACAGGGTCATACGACTTCTTTGCAAGAGACCAGTGTTGCAAGTGTATAGTTTAAATAAGAGACAATCAATCTCTTACCTTAGCAGGACAATTAAATAAATCCTGCACCCACTTTATTACCATGGTAAAGATAGTGTACATTGTTGTCTATGCTTAGACAGCAAGAATCATCAAGCATTCTGCTTTGCTTCCTGGTGGAAGTTTGGCAAGGAGGGGAAATATGTTATGTCAGCTTTTTCCTTTGTGGTTAGGGGCAAATGTTGTGACGTAGGACTCTGTGAGGTTAGATTGCTTTTGACCCTGCTGGGGGACACATTGATGCCGGGATAAACAACAAAGAACACTGATCTGCGAGTTTTTGTGCATAAAAGTATGTCAAAGACCATATCAAGAAACAGAGAACTGTGATCAGCTTCTTTAATGACATTATGGTAAACAAATCTTGAAGAACAGTGTAACGAGTGTTGCGATCCTAACAGTGTACTGCGACATTCTTCAAAGGACACTTCAGCTTCTATCAAGTCACCGATACCTGTCGAGGGTGTAAACAACACAATAGCTCACGCTACAAGAGCAAGGTAGGTTTCGAACTATCTTGTCATACATGGGACTGTGCAGTTCTTGTGTCACAAGGGGTTTGAAATCATCCTATAGTCGGCAATGAGGTGCGGACTTTCGAGTCCACACACGAGTATTGGATCCACTCAGCAATCAGTTTGAGATATGCTGACATAACACCCCCTAGGGGTAATTCTACTCATCCATAATATTTTTAATTCCAGCCCATGAGGTAGTGCATACGACAGCTTCTCAAGATAACGCCTGCAGGGATGAGTGTGTAGGCGAAAGCTCTCTTTCAAGCTAAGTACCCCTACAGTCCACTATTTAATCTTTGACTTAGCTTGTAGCATTATCCTCAACAGCGCTTACACAAGCAATAGCAAAGTCGTCAACATAGTGATGACTAAGTATTAGATGGAAGAACAGAGGCCAGATCATTAATAGCTAGTAGAAAATGAGTGGTGCTAAGGACACATTCCTTGTCTCTCAGACAAGAAGTTTTTAAGGAAAAGTGGCAGATTGCCCCGGAGGCGTAAGGAATGATCTTGGGTTAGGATGTTAAATCTCCAAGTAGTGTCATATGTTATTTCAAGATCAAAAAAGATAGATATCTAACCGGACTAAGGGGTTTATTCATCGATTTTGCTTACAAAAGCCAAATTGATGAGCAGAAAGAATATTATTATACATTCCATCAACTTGCAAACTGCACTATTATGAGCAATGGGTTGATAGTGAGAGGCATCATGTCCTGAAGTACCTGGTTTAAGAAAAAGCAGAACCACGGTAGTTTTCTATGGACAGGGAAGAACCTCCTGTTACCAAACCAGGTCCGGCTGTCGTAAAAGGCACGTTATAAGACTTCTCTGGTAGAAAGTCTGAAGGTGTTAACTCTCTGGCAGAATTGGAGGAATGAAGGGTATAGATGAAGCCGGTAAAAGATGTAGACAAGATTATTTCCAATTGCTTTGGCAACTCCAATAAGGTTTACAATGCTGACACCGGTAACCTTAAAAACAGGTGCAGGGGCTGGAGAATACCTACCACTCAATTTCCGTATTTTTTTTTCCAACTGCATTCATAGAGGAAGCAAAACAGACGGTAGAGACATAATCCCGCCAACAATTGCGTTTTGCTTCATGGATTACACGTTGGACAACAGCCCTCGCACGTTTAATATCACGGAGCCGCTCAGTGGTTCTGGACACCAGGGCACGTATTTTTGAGAGTGCCTACTTGAGGATTGAGGGACTGAATGTGATGCCGCAGTTAAAAATGAGGTCAAAAGTAGTTATAAAAGCTAATTAGGGATGCGAGTAAAGGTTCCAATTCTCCAGTTCAAACTGCCAATGTGAACTTTGAGGAGGGCGAGATTACGAATGGGAAGTAAGGAGGATAGGAAAATGGTCAGTCATGTAAATCTGGGAGCAGTGACCTGGCAAAATCGAGTGCAGTGGAAGAGCAGCAAAAAGAGAGAGCTATGCAGGACAGAGTTTGAATACGAGATTCAAAATGGGTGGGAGTAGCCGTATTTAAAGCATGGAGGGGAAGATAAGTGAGAAGAGCTTCTAAATGATCGTCACGAGTCACAGTGAGATACCCCTTCCCCAAACAAGGGTAATGAGCATATCACCTAATAAGAGAAGAGGTTGAAGTAGGGAAGAAACCAGAAATGCAACATTAGAAATGTATATAGGTTGAGAAGGAGAAAGATAAAATGAACACACTGTATACCACTTGTTCAAGTATATACTGGATGCAATGTAATGCAGCGAAGTATGAAGATCTGAGAGTGTGGTATAAGTGCTCCTTCATTAAAAGTCCCATCGGGAAAATGATCTGATGAATGCAATGAGATACAGACAGAGACGGGATGGATAACAGTGGAGCACAATTTAAGTTCTTGTATATGGACACAAATAGGGAAAAACTGGGAGAGCAATACCTGAAGCTCACCCCGATTACCCCTTAGGCCTCGAATATTCCACTTTGTTATGATCTGCTAACAGAAGTATACTGTAACTTAAAGCAGGAGTGTACGTACTAGTAGGATTAGTAAAGTTTACATTTGGAAGTAGCGGAAAAATAGTAAGCAGCGAAGGATTGGAACACTGTGAAGAAAGGTGTGTAGAAGTTTAGGAAGGTGTGAATGAGGAGGATGGGAGATGGCTCGGTGTCCATCGTTGTTTTTTTATCTCATTATATTTAAAGATGGTTTCAAGCATTTCAGATGACAAGGACGTTGCAGGTAGTACGATATCAGAGATAGAAGATGGTGGGTGAGTAGAGATTGGAGAGACGATGGGAGTTACCAAAGATGATGAGAGGCTAGAAGTAACTTGGAAAGAAACTTAGGAGAGGACAGGAGAGGCAGGAACCTGAGTGGGGACAAGAGAGGAGAGAACTGTATGAGAGGAGAGAATTAATCTATTCACCCGTTACAGATTCAGTAAGAGGTAAAATACAACGATCAGAGATTGGTAAAGGAAAATCTTTGGGAAGGATAAGTGATGGTGGGGTTAAAGGAGATTTGAACTTGGGTGATGTTTTAGACCTTGGAGAAGTAGGGAAGTGAGGTGGCGGTGTAGTTGTGGGAGGTCGTGTAGACATAGAAACATGCAAGCAAGAAGATAAAGACGTAAGGACAATGGGAGCCGATGAGGTAAGGACCTCGGAGCCCAGGGCTGAAAAGAGTTTAGATGCAGAGGTGACTATATAAGTTGTGACTACAGTGGATATTGTGGAGATAAGCACCACCGAGGTTGGGGGCCGCTTAGTAACTCTAGAAATAAGAAAGCTGCGAAAGTCTCCTTTGGAGGCAGAGATGGGAGATTGCCATGGTGTGTGAGAGACCTTTACTCTTTGAGACAGCGAATTTCTCTTTCCTTTAAGAAAATTTAGCATCGGCGAGAATAAGCCGGGTGAGCATCATTACAATTGAGGGAAGACGGGTGGCTACAGTATGTATTGTTATGGTCAGCAGCACCACAAACTGGGCATTCTGCCATTAACCTTCAATATTTCTCTGAGTGGCCGAAGCGCTAGCAATTTGTACATTGTCGTGGTGAAGGAATCAATTCCCGTACTTGTAAACATTGTTCCACAATATATACAGAGGACGGAAGTTCACGTCAGTCAAAAGTTAACCGAGCTATATTGCAAGGAAAGTGGCTCCGCTCATGGGTAGGTAGTATGTAAGTGTCCCTTTTAAGAATTGGAATGTCTTGGAGTTCAAGTTGTTTCAAAATGTCAGCATCACATGACTGGAAACCACACTGAACAATGGTATGTGAAACTATGGTACCACTGCAAGACCTGAGAGACATGTGTTTATGAATGATAGGAGTATCGTCAATGTAGGTAAGACGGGGAAGATAGTGAGCCTGGCCAGCATTTTGTAGAATGACGATGCGTGAACCACTCTTAAGATTATGAAACTAAATATTTTGACCAACATGGTGTACGAGTGCCTTGCTGATACGATGATCAGAGAGACAGTAAGTGGGAGATGTTGGTTGATGAGTGTCAGTCTTTTCTGGGAAGAGTGAGAGGTAACCGAGACAGTGTCGTCCATTAATGTCGTCCATTAGGTGTGGGACCAGAAGTGGTTCGTCCTGAGATGGCAGGCGATCTGAAAATCATCGTACTATATGGGGAGAAGCCGGAAGCATGGTCAAAGACGTGAGGAGGTCAGATGTATGAAGAGTTAGGCAGAACGATGGTACCAGAGGCGGGCAACGAATTGTTACCTGCAGAAGGTAACAGTGTGTTAGAGAGTTCCAAAGAATGATCCAATAATGAGGCAGACTCGTGAGAGCGCCACAAGAGAAAGAGGTCTGGGAGGAGAAATTTCACGAGTACGGGACTCCATGGCAAAAAAAAGGTGGTACATGGAGGGGTAGCTCCTAGGAGGAATGAAAGTGATCGTATATCCCCCTCCACATCCAAGAGGGCCCTCAATGCGGCCAGTAATGCGGATGTGTCGTGGAACCCACGCCCTACCTCACCCACCATTCCTGTAAACCGGTAATCCAGGATAACAACCTAAACTACCAAGCCATCTTGGCAGACAAAAGAGAGGGCAGTCTGAAGCTTGCCATAAAGCATACCACCTTCTGCCATCACCTTCCAGAACCGACAGATAGCCTCCAGAGAAACCCCCGTCACCCAAAGGACACCCTAAACCGCCCCTCGGGACTCCAGAGAGAGACTCGGGACATTCCTGGATGATCCAGACTCCACGGCAAATAACACTGCCACCAAGGACCTCCACGGAATGGGGCAAACAACGGCACCCTCTTCCCGACCTGGGAGCTAGAATTTCGGAGCGAAGAACCCATAGGCCAAAACAAGTGATTTTGAATCATAAATAAAACTGAAGCTGGCTAAGACTCGATCCCATGTCACTTTATTCAGCCCCATGGGAAACCAACGTTTGCGATGCTTTAATCATTGAACTACCAATCATAAAAACATGAGCCTAGCGGGGCGAGACAAGGTGACGTGGGATCGAGTCTCGACCGGCCTCAGTTTCGTTAATGATTCAAAATCACTTGTTTCGTGATTGCATTAATATAAAGACTGCTCGTGGAGGCTGGTATGCAAACGGGAGTAGACTGAAATTTGCTCTGAGCTAACTATGACCGCATATGTCCTCGCAACATATAATATTTTTATATTTTATTTTATATTTATTATATTATTTTATATATTATATATATATATATATATTATTTTATATTTATTATATATAGGGAGGTACCACTCTAGAACTGTATAGGGACCTCATCCTCAGAGAAAAGATTAAACTTGTTTCAGGGAAAACTCAGGTTCTTCCTGAAGCTGTTGAGAATTTCCCTCCTCCACCCTTATTTTATATATTTATTTAAAGACAAAAATACATTGAACAAAAACATTCACAAAAAATACGATAGAAAGTAAAACAACATAGGTTGACTCAGCGCTACATCTCTAATATTTTGCCCAGCTCCCCGGCGGTGGCCGCGTGCGCAGAATGCTGCAGGCGTTTCCTTCTGGATTGCAACACTGAGTCTCTGAAAGAGGAAGCTGGTCGCCCAGTGGCCCCTTGGTTTCTTGATGAGCTTTTAAACCCAGCTTATTAGGAATTTTTAGAGCACACTTGCCCATGCTCCAAGGGTCTCCGACCCTTTTGGGGATTGAAGTTATAGCAAGGGGGAAGGTCTTCATATTTGCGGATCTTCTGGGTCTCCCTGTGGCTGGCAGCTCCACCCCTTCCACTACGGGTATGGCAAGTAGGTGTCTGCCAATGTGGCGGCACATGTGTAGTCCCAGGCAATCTGCTTTCCATCCTTCCAAGGTAGCATAGTGGCTCCATCAGGACGCTTTTGACTTCCGTCGACCTCTGCACTTGGGGTTCCGTTGAGCTGGGCAACGGGCTGTGGCGAGGCTTCTCTTTATGATGTCATTTACCTCCTCATGCCTGGCATACTTCCCCTTTTGCTGTGTGACACACGAGACCAGTAAGTCCGAATTGATCAGCTGTCGCCCTGTCGCAAATACACCTATGTTCGGTGAGGATGGGGGCGGCTAGGCGAAGAGCAACACCAATCCGAATGGCCTGTGGGTCTAGTCGAGTGCCCAAGGAGGATTTGGGAACAGCTAACAGGAAATCTCCTGAGTGTGGTGCCTTCACTGCCAGGAGACGAGCTTTGTCCTTTCCTGAGGCATTGGAGAGCATTGTGTTGGCGATTTTTTCCATGATCGGTTTGTCCCAGTGGGACTGTTTGTGTTCTTTGGGAGGAGCTGGTCTACTGCCAAATAGGCAGAACTTGCGATCTTGGCTTAAATAGCAACGCTCATCTTGCCATATAGGACAAGCGAAAATTTGTGTATGCAATAATTTCGCCAAAATCATTCTGAACCTAACGAAAAAAAATATATTTCACTGTTTGTTTAGTATTAAATTATTGTAAACAAATCTAAAATATATTTAGTTGGGTTAGGCTAAAATAAATTGTTCTTGTTATAATAAGGTTAGG